TTAGACCCATTTTTATTCCTATATTCAAAACGGTCCCTTTTTAATCCTTTTACTCTTTATCTCCCTCCTCTCTTTCTTCTTCCTTCTTCTCTTTTATTCCACTTTTCCTTTCAATCTTTTTCTCCTACCTATTTATTTATGTGTTTTTCTTTTCCTTTTTTCCCTGTATCCCTTTTCATGTTATTTTATTTATTTATTTATCTATTTATTTTTAATTTTTTTATTTCTTACCTTCTTATTCTCTTCTGTCCTCCTATATATTCTTATTTTTATTTTATTTTAACTTGTTTTTCCTTGTAAATGTGTACTCCTTTTCTATGGATAATATTATATATATATATATATATATATATATATATATATATATATACACACTTAAAGTTCTTTTTTTCACAATCTTTCCATACTATTTTTTGGGTTCATCTACCACTGACCCCAACTAGTTTGGGATAAAGATGTTGTTGTTGAAGAGAGAATATTTAATGATTAAATCAGACAAAATGATCACAGTACAAAAAGAAGTATCTATAGTCCTGGCATATCACCCACCAAATACATCATTAGATTGAGGCCGCTCAAGTCAAAATTATTTACTAAATCATCTCTTGCACACTAGCCATTAAGGCATTAACAATGGCACCAAATATACCTTACAACAGAAAAACTACAAGCCTAAACAAAATATGTTTGATTAATATTTTTCCTCATAAGCAAAAGTTTCAGAAAATTACATCTTAGGGAACTTACAATTGTGAAACTTTTTATATCCATAACTACTGATAGGGACCAAAGAACCACTCGTAAGTGAAATGAAATAAACATGTTGAAATGTTCCTTACGTGAATGTTTCCCGTATTTCTTACAATCTTAGTTCAACACATTTTCCAGCTCTAAAGGAAAGGATAAGGAAATAAAAATGTGGAGGGAGGAACTTGTTTATTCCTGACCTTAAAATATAGGAGATGGATATTGATCGTCATCAATTTATTGCTACAAGCAAGCATATTCCGCAAGTATGCATTTCATTCAATGCAGAATCAACAACATAAATTTTGATCAGGAATGAGGGTGGAAAGATAAAACCTTCAATTGAAAGCAGAGAGAAAAACCAACCCAAAAAAAAAATTAAACTGTATAAATGCATGCATGAATACAAGAACACGTGAAGAATAAACTGCACATATACAGTTTAACAGTCATTTATAAAACTGGGATTGCAAAACATGGATTTACCTTTCACTTTCAATCATTCGTAGAAGACCAGTAACAGTTTTGTGTTCTACTTCGGGAGATAGTGAAAGATGTTTGCGGAAAAGTTGCAAGCCCATGTCCCATAATGACCGCACATTTGATGTTTGCTTCACATACGTCCTATCCAGATACAAGGCTATACCACGAATCATCAACATTTGGTCACAAAGATCCTGCCAACATCTCTCAACTAGGGATAGAAAAACAATCAAATCTGGGCTTTGGCCAACTAAAGAATGCAGCGCTGCAGATATGTGCGCTTCACACTCCTTTTCAATCCGTTGATAAAGATTTCCCCCCATTTTGTAAAGGCACAGATCACTTACTGCCTGTGAACAAGAATTATGAGTTCGCCATGAAACTCTAATGAACTAATGTTCAATGAATATTCATAGAACTAAATCAATTGTATTACCAAAAATAATAAAAATAAAAGGGTTTTCCATGATTACCTGATAAAGCTTCTCCAAGTCACAAGAATCAGGTTGCTTCAAGAATATAGCACAAATAGCTGACTTCAATTTCGCCCATGTATCCTCCTCAAAATTTGGGGGCAATGTTGGTTTACCTTTACAAGAAAAACCGAAAGTTTGAAAAGAGAATATAGTGACCACCCTATTCATAAGTTAAATATTTAATATTTACAAAAATACTGTGTCAATGCAATGCATTAAAAAAAATGAAACTAGGAATATATTTCAAAGGAAAATAAACTTGTGGTATTTAGGTTATTGCTTTTGTTGATTGCCATGTTTTATATGTGTGTTCAACATAATCATATTACAAAATAGACAAGAAATTTTAAAGGTCAAGGCACAGAATCTGGATGGAAGTGGTTGATAGATATCTCAAAATCAAGCTTAACTGTAGTCGGACCTACAACTGCCATTTTAGACCAGGACAAGTTAATATCAGTGTCAGGAGAGGAGATTCAGTGAGTTAATTAATTCAGTATTTCTTTTTACAATCTGTTTCAGTTTCTATCATAAGGCAACAACACATAGGTCCACAAGATGATTCTATCATGAAAAGAAGGACAACGGAGATTAATATAGCTAACTTGAATTATCAAAATAGATATTTTCGCAAGAATCAAAAGACTCAATTAGTAGCATCTACAAAACAGAATTTTCTCAAATCTGCAGAAGCTGAAGAGAGTAAAGTAAGAAAAGAGGCAACATAGAATGAATGGGTACTACCTTTGTGGAGCTTGATGAGGAGCTTCTTGGCGGGCTGAGGAGGAGTGGCTTTCTTGCGGGACAAATTGGTGGCGATGAGGGCAGGCGCATTGGGGTCATCGGGGTCGAAAACGGTGTCGTCGGAGTGATGGCGGTGGTGAAGGCCGTTCCTGGAGTCGACGGAGACGGACTTGGCCTTCTTCATTGGCGGTGAGTGAGTGGCTGAGCGTTTGGAATTGGTGGAGAGAGACATCAACACCCTCTCACAAAGACTCAGATTAAGATCAGACAGAGATCGCAACAAGATACACAACTCAACTCTCTCTTTTTTTCATTTTTCTTTTTTTATATCGATTATTTATTTTTTTCAAGATTTTTTTTAACCTGATTCATTATCAGTAAAATATTTACTTTCGTTTTCCCTTAAAAAAAATGGAAGTAGGTTATTTTTTATAAATTGTAATTTTTTTTATTTGCGTTGATAATTTTTCTCAATAAACTCTGCTATTTTACAATAATCAAATGAAAATTGTGGCCAGTTAGAACTCTCACGGAGGCGTTTCGCATAGGAATTTTTTTTTTTATGAGGAAAATATATTTACTAAAATAATGATAAGAAAGTCAATTTGATAGAAAAGTTTAAAAAAAGATGTTTAGTTGACCGAAATATTACCAGAAAAATTTATTTAAATTTACAAAATCTATGTTTGGAAGGAACTTCGCTTCCACTTTTCTGATTATCTCAAAATACCACATCTCAAGTAGTATTTTGTAACAGAGAATTTCACTTACAAATCAACACCAAAGTCGTTTCTCAACCATCCCATCCTATTTGTCTAGTATTTTTTCTTTTCAAAAACTTGAACTAAATATGATATTTTTCAATACCCACCCGCACTTCTCCGTTAAATCCAAAATAAAACTTCTATCAAACATGCCCTAAGTATTAAAAAATAAAGCATAAACAAATGTAGCTTCGTAGATTGAGAAGTGTTCTGGGACAACGAAGCTACAACATGATATCAGGACGAGAATTCTTTTTGCGTAACCTGAAGAGCCTTGGTGGCCTACCCCTAGGCCCAAAGTGCCACATAAAATTATTGCTCTCTTTTTTATTAAGTTATTAATTAGACCATGTTGGCCAATTTTCCTTTTTTTTATTTTTTTTAATATGTAGATTCTTTATTGATGTTATTTTTCATTTTGATTTTTTTGTTTTAATTCACTATGCGAGAAAAGGTTGCAGTTATTTATTACTGCGTCTTTTCTTTTTTTAACTCTCACAAAGAGTACTGTAAAACTGATTTCATGGGACACGGTCATAATTTTTCGCTAAATTTCCACATACTATTGTCCTGGTGATTCTAAGAGCGAATGACTTCCTGCTAAAGAATAACTTGAGCTAAACAATATCAGATTCCTCACTTTGGTTCTTTCATTTGACAATGCCCAAAAGAATCAGAAGTGAAACTCTAGATAATTTGGGAAACACAGCAGTAGAATAAGTTCTGACTCAGGTATCGTCTTTGTCATTTTTATACTATGGTGATTTTTTATGCAAATTAGAATTGATACATGATACAGATTACCTCTGGTAATTACGAAGAGGATTGAAATTCATGAGAGTTCTCTTTTAATAGAGGTAGAATCCTTATAAGAATTGATTTGTCAGTTTTGTAAGAAAATATTTTCAGTATTACGAATGTATCAACCACTTAGTACATTTTTTTATAAAATAAAATAAAATAATAATAACATATTTATATTATTTTTACCTTTATGATTATTTCCTTCTATATCTATTTTTTTCTTTTTCGGTAAAAATGTATCTACCCCAATTATACTGAAGATTTGTTCGCTTTGTAGATGTTGGGTGATGCCTTATTGGGCCTAAGTATTAGTACCAAACACATTCCTGTTTAAATTTGGTAACTGAGGCTTCCTACAACTTAGATTTTGGTTTCGGCGATCCATATATGAATGGAATGAAAGTATGGAGTTTACAAAAATTTTGCATAAAACTGGCGAGGTTGAGTTTTTTGCATTTTTAATCATTGCCTAACCAGATTCATACTAGCTATTACCAGTTACTTAAATTATACTTAAACTTTTAATTAATAATTATAACGAGTCAATTTCACAAATTAAAGTTCAACCACTTGAAAGCTTGAGAGTGTATGAAACCTTGGCAGATGGGGATATAAAGTCGTATCATTCTAACGTTATAACATGATAATTACGAGTTTCAATAAAACTTATAAACTATAATACATGAGACGAATTATTCAAGTATTATTATTAAGAAGTTCTTCCAACAAAACTTGACCATATTCCAAGACCAAGTTGCATGCTTTTGACTTTGACCCCTACACTTGTCTTCCGGTGACCATTACCAGTCCCCTAAGACTGCCAAAGACCAGGGCCCAATGACACCTATAAAAACACCAAAATCCACATCCTTTTTTTCACACACAATACACAACCATTGCAAATTCTACACCACGGAAACAGAGAAACAAAAGGGAAACTAGGCTTCATATCAATTTAGCAAGGTTATTAGATCATCAGATCATGACAAGTGGATGTTGTAGCGAAGGTCCAAAGATAGTGCACATTGAAACACGGTACGTGGAGACCGACGCTATAAACTTCAGAAACGTAGTTCAGTGCCTCACAGGGAAGAACTCGTCCATGTCTTGGGTAGGAAATGGTAGTTCTGGTTCACCCTTCGCTGAAGGTTCAGATAATAAAGGAGGAACTTCACATGATGGTTTCAGTGCCAAGCCAGAGTATGATGTCACCACTGATGGTAAAAAGAATAGTCTTATATCTTCCATGTCACTCAAGAACATGACCTTCAAAGACTTTGATGGATTTTTGTCTGATTTGGCTTCCATGGAGGAGCTACTCTGGTTATAGGTGCAGCACCCTTTTTTTTAATATTATTCTTTTCTCTCCTAGTTTTATGTTATATATATGTTGTAATTCGTACGAAGTGGATATTGCTTAATATATTGTGTTTGTATACTAGTTTGTTTGCATACTTGTTCTTTGCAGGTCTCTAACTCGAAAGATTTTTATTTCTGCAAAAATATGAAGAGATAAATTATGAAAATGGCAGTACACAAGTTTTATTTATTGTGGAAGGCAAAATACCCTCTATGAAAAGGAAACCATGAACCAAAGCCAAAACATGACTACATTTTCCTTCGTGGTTCAATTGTAGCCTTTCAATTGGATATAACAAATCGATACTTTTTTTATTTTGGTAAGCTTAACATACCGATACTACTCACTCAAATATTGGGTTGGACAACATATTTATTAATAACCATCATTATTCATTATTGTATTTTTGTCACTACCCATATCCGAGATACCGAATGTTAATTTCAGCTTAGGACTAATTAACTTCGCAAAAAAATTTAAATATTATTTTTTTAATAAATATTTACGAAAATATAGTCATTTTAAATGTAAATATGAATCTATAGCACTCAAATATACACCACCGGAGGCGTGATTTGATGGAGAGAGACACGCCCCACAAGAGACGTGTTTTAGGAGAAAGACACACCCCGCAAGGGGTGTGACTCACCAAGTGTTGACACGTGGCACAAAAAATCAACAGTTTGACCGCAAAACTTTAGAAGGGCATGACTTGAATGCCCAAATTAGGTAAAAAATAAAATTAATTTCATACAACTTTTTGAGATCTACGTAATGAGGTCTCATTGAAGGGGATTTGGGGAAAAATTTTCAAAATTTTGGATATTTTATCGTAAAACTTCGGAATGCCATAATTTTGACTTCGGAGTGGCCAAATCAGGTTTTATTTTTTTATTACGCATAGCTTTTTGACTTCGGGGTGGCCAAATCAGGTCTCATTAGGGTGTATTAGGTGTGCGGTTCAATTCCCTGTAATGTCCAAAAAAAAAAAGAATATCCTGCCATATATATATATATATATATATATATATATATATATATATATATATATATATATATATATATATATATATGGACGTCCAAAAGCCCATGTATTAACATCATGAGCTGCAGCACGTGTCCACAATTTTACTAGGGCTTTCCTTAAGAAAAAATATTGTTGTCTATGCGTGTGGATGGAGAGGAAACCACAACTGCGATTACAAACATTCCTAGTAAATAAATGTATGTTATGCTTCTTTTTGGAAATTTTGGGAGATAAAATGCAAATTCAAAAAAAAAAAATTGCAATTTTTTTTATCAAATCCCCTTCAATGAGATATCATTGCATAGATCTGGAAAAGTTACGTAGAATAAAAAAATAATCACCTAATTCGGACACTCGAGTCAAAAGATATTGTTTGCCTAAGTTTTACGATCAAACTGTTGACTTTTTTGTGCCACGTGTCATCACCAAGTGAGTCACGCCCCTCATGGGACGTGTCTCTCTCCTAGATCACGCCCAATTTAATACAATAGATCCATATTTAGTTTCAAAACAACTATGTTTTCGTAAATAGTTATTAAAATAACAATATATTAATTTTTTTGCCAAGTTAATAATATTATCTTAAAATTTGGACAAACATTATAGTAATATGAAAATTCATATAGCTAAAGGAGTATAGTAGTAGTATAGTCTATAGAAGACGTCAAGTACTTTTGATTTGTTTTTTATGCGATTGATTTGATAAAAAAAAAAAAAAAAAAAAATCTACATTTATTTGAATGTTCAGGATTGGAAACGGGAGTTAAATTGGATGCTAAGATATAAAAGGATCTTCGAATGTTATGTTGTTGTACTACAAAGTATTTACATTTGCTGAATTGGAAGCCAAGAATATAGTGCCCCCAAGAATAGTATGTTGTTGTGCTTATTTTGGCTTATCTAATTTAGAACAATTGGAGTGAAGGGAATAATTGGTGCTAAAGTCTCATCTTTGTTTTAATTTTTTGACTAATCATTGGATTATATCAGAAGTTTATAAAGTATAACTTTTCAAAAAATACGTATAGACTGTAGTATGGTCAATAGACGGAGCACAGAGAATGCAAATTCGGCAATATATGAGTCAACAATCTTTTGCGGCTGGAAATTGGGTATCACATCATACCAAAAGTTGCACTATTTAGGTATCTTGGATCTATCTTACAGTATGACAAGGATGTCACACATAGAATCTAAGCTGGGTAAATGAAATGGAAAAATGCTTCAAGGCAAAATTTGTGATTGCAAAAGGGCCTATTTAACTCAAAGGAAAATTCTACTAAGTTACTATAAAACCAAGGATGCAATATGGTAGTGAATGCAGGGCAATTAAGTTCCAATAGTAGCAAACACTAAGTATAGTAGAGATGAGAACATGAGGTAAATAAGTTAACATACGAGAAAAGATAAGATTGGGAACAAATATATCCGAGAGAATATTAGAATAGCACCTATTGATGAGATCATGGAAATTTCATTAAGATGGTTATGTCACATAAGAAAAAAACCAACAGAGGCTTTAGTGAGAAAAGTGAACCAATGTGTTAGATGTTTAAGTAGTCTAGCTTAAGGCATTGTCTTAGTAAATCTTTGACTTAAATCAAAGAGTCTCGTCGAGATTGGTTTGCAGATAACATATCATGCATAAATTGGATAAACCTATCAGGACAAGTAAGATATAACCTCCAACCACAAAAAGACAACAAATGGAGAAGAGATTAGGAGAATCCAATATATAAAATGAAAAAAAAAATCTAAATACTAAGTATAAGTTTCATGAGGAGAAGCTTACTGATGCAATGATAGGGGTTGAAATTTTTGCTTAAGCTTTAACTTCTCGTGTAGGAATGATAAGAAATCTTTAATCAGCACCAACAAAGATGTGTAAAGTTGTTTTCAGGAAAGAATAAAATACAAATGAGATAACTAAAACTAGCAATCACTAGAAATCTAAATGCATGAATATAAAAATGATTTAATGTTTCTCGTATCGTAAGAAATAAATTTATCTCCTACACATATAATACTATGCGGGATCCTTATGGAACCATGTGAGAACAAGTAAGGAGAAGAGAGGGAAAGAAAAAATATGAAAAACATTAATCCATATAAAAATTAAACCATCAACAACAATTCCTTGGAACGAATAAACCATCCAAGTATTGCTCATTAGAAAAATGAAAAAAGGTTATCTCATTATTGAAAATATAAACGCACCTAAATATTCAGTCCTAATTCTCATTTTTGCAACTAACCAACTATAGATAACATTCCTTATAGCTTTAGACACCACCTATAACACCTCACATATTTGAAATGCATTATTAATGATTGAATGGTGAATTAGAGGATGTATTTAGTGGAAATCCTGAAATTTCGGGTAAAATATACTCGAAGGGAAAAATGGTAATTTGACAATTACTTTAACCCTAAAATTATGAAATAATATAATTAGACACTATTTGATGAAAATAATATTGAATTTGGATTCAGAACGAAGTTTGGAATGGATAGGTAATTTTTGGGAAAATTGATGAATAGTGATTTTTAGCGATGAAATACCATAGTACGATTTTACTGAGAAACTCAGAAATGAGATAACTATTCTAGGATTGGATATATGTTGAAAGAGATGTTTAAAATAAAAAAAAAATTATTGGAATTATTTGGTGATTTTTGGAAAAATACAGTTAATGTGAGTATAGGGGTAAAAATGGAATTATGTAAAAAGTGTCCGAATCTTTTAACTAATGTAGTGTGACAATATTAAACTATAGTTGTGTGTCTTGAATTTATTCAAGAATTCAAGAAGAAGAATTAAATAAATTGAATTTTAGATATTTTATAACTTTACCTAAATGTCAAAATTGGTGGCTAAGCCCTATTGGTCTTAAAATTAACCTATTTAAGCTTGCCTTTTTCCTTCTCCTCTTGTCTTGGTCAAACCACCATGGAAGAATAAGCTGGATTTGTAACTTTTTTTTTTGACACCGAATCAAGAAAGTTACAACATGAAAAATACCCAAAATTACTTGGTGATAAAAAATCCTCAAAGAAATTTTTGAGAAAGTGAGTGAGTGAGGAGATCAAAGAGCTTGAAGGTGGAAGTTTCTTGGTGTGAGAGTAGCCATTGTTGGTATTTTTGTTGCTTGGAAGCTTATATATCACTCTCTTGAAGCCTAAGAACTCATTAGTAGTAATATTTCTCAATTTCATCTAGTCTTTCTTATGGATCGAAATTTTATACATAATATGATGTGTATGTTGGTGGATGGTTAGAGAGGTTTTATGGTTATGTTCCTTTGGAATTTATTGTTCGTATGGATAAATAATCGGTAGAAATCCAATAAAAATTTAAGTGATTTTGATGTCAACACTTAGACAAATTTTCAAGGAGGAAAAATTGATGATTTGTGAAGAAAGTATTTGATGGATGATGTAATTAATTGGTGGTTGTTTGAGTCATAAATTATGAAGTTTAAAAACAGTTTTAAGTATGTGAATTGGTTGAAAAATCCTTTGATTCCCTTGTTGTTATACTTTCGGTAATGTTGATTTTTTAAGGGAAAATGATGTAAATTGTGTTGTGGCTTGATGAAGAGTGTTTGAGTATATTGGTTATTTGGTTGATGTGGTTAAACTATGATTATAATGATTAAATTTATGAAAAATCTTTCGTGGAGTTTTAAGGTAACCCCCGACATTATGGCTTTAAATATTTTGATGCACATGCCAGTTGCTTATTTTGTATCATTGACTTAGTGCTTGAACCTTGGTCTTGTATGTGATGTTGTGGACATTCTTATGGTTGTTCATGCTTTTGTGTCTAAGTCATTTGATTATTATGTTTATTATGTAATAGTTGTATTTACCTAGTTGTTGTAATCCTAAACGTGTCATTTGAGAACTTTGTATATGTAAATGTTGATGTATTTGATGAAAG